CCTGCAAATAAAAAATAATGTTAGAAATCACCAAACGTGTGAATATATATTTTCCACTAAAATGCTGGACTTAGAAATATTATAAAAAGAACCGCACACAGGGTTCACTTGTATTAGCAACTGTAAAAAACACACCAATATCTAAAACTGTGAAACTGCAACAAAAATATCTTTGATACTTATGTACACACGCACGGTCCAAAGCACCAACTACAAAAATATTAAACTGTATCTCTTAAAGGCCAAATAAAAACTGAGGAAATAATATTTCCTCATTTCCTATTTATATTATAAAGTAGTCGGTAAGGGAAAAACCGCTTGGAGCATTCCAGGAAGGTCTATACCACCACCACTAATCAAGCGGTGTCATTTTAAAATTTATTACAGCTCAGTCGACTTGACCGACATGTGTAGTTCCGGATTCAACGTCCCAGTTATAAATTTTTATACATAAATGTCCACAATCATGAAAGTTATAGCAAAGAATAAAAAAAGTTTGAGTACAAGAAACCAATTCGCTCAGGATTTTTGCTTAGTTGGGGAGATATGTCGTGGAATGCAAATTTTAGATTCCCCATGTCTCTAATAACATCTTTATCAACGTCTGTTTTGCCTTGCAATTCTTAGAAGGCACAGATTAAAGCAAAAATCTGAATTTGGTTTCAAAAATTAGTTTACGGATTTTAATAAAATTTTAATTTTTACTTTAATACCCTGTATTTTTTTTAATATAAATATAACTATAATATAAAGTGTAGAATTTACTGTTTCTTTTTTACAATTACTTAAGGATCGGCCTGTATTCATCAATAAAATCATCCGTATGCTAGAAAGCAATTAAATATAGATTTAATATAAGACCAATACCCTATATATTCTATCCTAATCTATAGGTATTTGTACTTCTCATTTAGATATTTTTCTGAGCATTCACGTATTTGTGATTGATGTAAGTTCTACATATACTGTGTCCTTACGTCACTTTTGAAAGTCAACGCAGACTGTAAGAATCCTAGTTGAACAGGGCTGACTGTGATCGATAGGAGAAAACAAACGAGTCGCGAATGTCGTTGGCAAGTGACCAGTAGCCAAAATACAGTAATTCCCTACATGATAGATACTAGCCGAGTGCGGTGGACCTGACATATTCCTCTTTCTTGTCGTCGGGGGAAAACGCTAAAGAATCACTGTGGATGATTGCGAGAGACGCGAATTAGCTAGATGGAGCGTAACTGTAGGAATTGCAGAATTTCTAACATAAATTGAATTTTCACTAGAATGCACCCTGGCGCAGACACTTATACTTTCGATTCCTTCGTATATATTTAATCAAATTGATGAAAACGGGGATTATTGTTGATGGCTAATGGGTCATGTTGATGGAAATGGTCACTTGGATACCTTCTATTCGTGAAAAATTGCAGATTTCTTTGTAATCAAGAAATATTTTAATGAATATATTGTAGATAACATTAATAAAACAAATAATATACAGGATAAGTCATAACTATTGGGACGTAGACTGAGGTCAGGTTAATTGGACCAAAATATGCACATTTGACCAGTGCATTAAAAAAATGTTGCTGTGAAGCAGGTAAAGTATGGTAAATTTATATTTTTTCGGTTTGTTAATAAGATAGGCCGACATTATTTTTGTTGTTTTTAGTTTGACATGTGTCCTTGGCTAATACGGGTACGCTGATTCTGAATATGAATTCGGTTGAAGCCCATCACGTCCAAATTTTTCCCAAAATAAAAAAAATCCTTGTTAGATATTATAGACTAGTGTAAAGAAATATCTTATTGATATTTCGTAAATTGCATTAAAATTATTTTTCGCAAATCGCCAGAAAATTTTGACATCCCTGTCAAAATTTCTTGATGAAAAAGTCAGGATTTCCTTACTGTAAGGAAATGTCATTTCCTTACTGTAAGGAAATGATATTTCCGTACAGTTGTTAGTGTTCTACATAAATGATAGAAAACACATTGCTTATAAGGAATTAATTTATATTTTGAAAACATCAAGTCATTGCTGAATACATTTTTAAGATCAATTTGTTATATTAAAGTAATTTGACAGTTAGTACAATTATTGAACATTGGAGGAACACTCTAAGAACTATGAGAAACATTTTGGACAACATGCAGGGTGGAAGTGTCATTTTGTTGAATATTTTGTACTGTGAAAATTTTATTTGCCACCTCAACCTTATTGTTAAGCGATTCTTCGATATATCCTTCAGCAACGTTTGATGACTTCCATCCGCCTCTTTAAACTAGTTATGTCGGCACCAGAGTCAACCAATATTGTTGCAGAAGACCGACGAAAGCAGTGACCAGTATATTCTGTCGGATTTACCAAGTTCAAATAAGTAGCAATTATTTTGGGCATTTTTCTAAATTGATGAATTCCTACCACTTGTCTACAACCCTTTCCGCTTTGATATTTAAAGAAAAATCGGTCACTGTTCATATTTTCTGGTCTTAACGAAACATACTTTCGATAAACATTCAAGTAGATCTGATTAATTACAAATGATCTTGGTTTGTTGGTTTTCGAATCAGGTATGCTGATTAAAAGCTCAGATTCTAAGTCTTATATATCGTGTACAGTCATTCGGACTAACTCATCCATTCTACAGGCCCCAGAAATACCAAATATTACAGCCACCTAAAAAATAAATAAAGCTATAATCTAAATAGAAATTAAAACCTTGTAAATTACCTTAATCATTAAATTTTCTTTATCTGGAGCTTCCTGGATAAATTTTTCAATTTCTTCCTTCGTTAAAATCTTAGATTTCTTTGCCCTATAACCTTGAGCTTGCCGTTTCAATAAAGAACGAAGTTTTAAGTATGTAGATATATCTACATTGTGTTTAAGTGCAAGAGTTGACTTCAGCATTGAATAATTAGCCCATAATGTTAAAGATTTTATCTTTAAACATTTTCTGAGAAAGAACTCGTATTTTTACTCATGCGATAATCCATAAAACGTCTGTATGCATTTTCGTACTTTTCTCTTGATTTCTTTGGCAATAATTCTAATGAAGCAGTATTCACTGCCTCAATCAGCTCTGATCTGATCTGAATCAAGGAGTCCCAGGAATGGAAATTTCATCATCACTTATCATTTTACTTTCGAGAACACCAGCAATTAAATTTATAAGCGTCAAGTTTGACAATTCAACCTCAATACGTTTCCATAGTAACCCAAGTAATTTTATTAGGAATTTCAAAGCACCATTTATTTGGGAATAAAATTATCGCGTTTTTTTTTTAAAATAAATCAATATCTGTTGAATTTTAAACGATTTGCGGAAAAATAGTATGTTTACCTCGTAGGAAAAGCCACATTCCTGGACTCTGCTGTTGCAGTAAACAATGTACTATTCTTTAAAATACTTGATAGACCGATAGATAATATTTTAATACAATATTGTGCTAATTCCATTGGAATGGTAATACTGCCCTTATTGTTAAGGTGTTTTCCTCCATTACTGAATGTTGGCTAAAACTACAGCAATTCGCAAAGCGCTTGTAAAGTAGATGATCAGGACAAACATTGGGCTCCATACAAAGTGTGCTTTCAGGGTATCGAACTACTGAGAAAATGGACAAAAGATACACGTAACTCTTTATCTTTCGAAATTCCTATGGAGGATACCAAAAAACCATGGAAACGGCTGCTACTTTTGCTCCTGCGATATCAAGGGTTTCAATTTAAAAAATTATTACAAAATTCAATATCCTAATTTACCTTCTGCTAAATGAAATGTATATCATGAATCAGGAATCCCTATTCCTCCAACTTTTCTTCACACCATCCTACAGCAATCATCAGAAGAAAGTTCAGATGAAAAAACCGATGAAGATGAATTTAATCCTGAGATAGATCAACCTCAAAAGTTTATCCAATCTGAACTAAATGACTTCGTGAGAGGCTTGGGCCTATCGAAGGATGCTGCACAAATTTTAGAATAACGACTGAAAGATAAAAATCTATTGGCTTCAGGTACTCTGGCAATTATGATTCCACATCATGGCGGTTATTTAATGATTCTTTTAAGAGAAGTCAGAAGAGTGTCTTGTTGCACAATGGTAATACTTGTGCTTCAGTGCCTGTTACTCACTCCGTGCATCTGAAAGAAACACGTGGAAGTATTGAGATGTTGCTTTATAAAATAAAGTATAGCGAAACGTGGACCATGGCCAAAGCAAACAAAGAAAAGCTCAGGCGCTTTGAACGAAAAATGCTTAGAAAAATTTTTGGACCTCACCATGACATCACTACAAACCAGTATAAGATCAGAACCAATATCGAATTAAAAGTACTCTACAATGACGCCGATATTGTCCAAGAAATTAAATCACAGCGACTAAGATGGGTAGGCCACATGCACAGACTGCATAACGAGAGAATTGTAAAACTGGTATGGGAGGAGATTCCCACAGGCAAAAGACCACTCGGGCGTCCCTAGAATGAGATGGAGAGATAACATATAAGCAGATCTTCAGAAAATGAACATTCCATTTGACCCTAAGTTGATGGAAGACCGAACAAATTAAAAAAAGTTGTACAGTCTGCCAAGACCCACCCAGGGTAGTAGCGCTACGTGATGATGATGATTTTGGATCAGTAGTTTGGAGTGACAAAGTATCTATGTTGTTTTATGCGGGTGGGACACTCGAGCACGAAATTTACATTACGTTAAGAAAGAGTAGCCACTCAGAGAAAGACTAGTACTGGGACAAAAAAAAATGTGCAACGTGATACACTAGTTGACAAAATTAGTTCTTTTGCCTCCTTTTCACATAAAGTTAAGATTGGTGAAGCAGTTAGTCAGAGCTTTAGATAAACAATGTGACTGCTTTAAATATCTGTGCGACAAATTTCCTGCACTTTCTAAAGCAAACTTCTACACAGATCGGATAGATTGTTCCAGAATACTATGACCCAGGATGGATCTGTAGAATAATGTTCTTTCGTTGAACTCATGGAGTGTTTCGTTGAAAATAACAAGTCTCCAAACTATAAAGAAATTGTAGCTAACATGGTCGAAAATGATAAAAAACTGGGATGCAATATGAGCGACAAACTTCATTTTTTGGATTCCCACGTTGACTATTTTCCCGAAATTCTTGGAGCTAGAAAAAAGGTTCCATCAATATATAAAGGAGATGGAGGGACGTTACCAAGGAAGATAAGATATTATAATGATGGCTGATTCCTGCTGAACCTTGAAGAAAGAATCGATCACAAAAATCCATAAAAAGAAGTCCACAAAATGCAATTTTCATGGAAAAAGAGAACAGTTTTATTAAAAAAAAACAAATTTTGTATAACGCAGGTTATACTGAATACTTTTTTTTAAACAACTAAATTTTGCAGTGTAATTTTATAATAAATAATGTTTCAATAAAGATTTTCTCAGTATTTTTGGCAGTTTCTATGAAAAGTTTCAAACACACTTTTCTTGAAAACCTGACGTGCTGGAAAAAACTAAGTAAATATTCGTGATCAGTACATAGCATTTACTATAGTACACCTATTCAACTTAAAACACTTTTTCATGAAAATAAAAATGTAGGCCTGTGAATTTCACTGTATATTTATGTTTTGTTGAAAAAAATTCTTGTTATTTTGGTCAAGAAAGATTATTTTACACTAGATCCGCTGGGTACTTGCACGTCATCATTCTTTTTTTTTGTATTAGGAGTGGATCTCCACATAAATATTATTGGACGCTGTTTTTCTCTACAATGGGATCCTTTTGTTGATTTTTGATCAAAGAAACAAGGCAATACAAAATTAAATATCAATGTAGTAGAGATGAGGATATCCAATGATTATTAGCCTAAAGGTCTGTACATCTGAGATAAAATCTCGAGATTTGTCTCAGGGTGTTGTCCATTTGAGATCACTTGCAGTCCCAAGATGGGAATAGGAGACTCGCTGATGACTTTAATCTCGAGACCAAGACAATTCTGTGTCGACTAGACAATCAACATTGTCTACTGTGTGACTTCATCACGCATACACATATACCTACTTCATCTAATTTACTTTCCAACCAATTTTTATACCAACACGAAATATTTAGGTGATAGGTGTGTTCTTTTTTAGAATCACTTTGTCGAGTACACTGGCATTACAGCCACTAGACATATTTTATTACATACGCGTAGAAATAATATTTAAAGATTTCTGTTAATGTTAACTTAAAGCAATACACAATAATATGTTTCATTTAATTTGTATAGATGCATTATAAAGCGTTTTTATAAAGAACATTTTCGGAACACACTGTAACTGTAATCGAACGAAGATGATATTTTGGCATAAATTTGTAACACTTAAGATCGATTCAGACACATCAGTCACGTCATCGTCACGGCACCGAACCGGTCCTGTTTGGTCACAGAACTATCAACTATCTGACAGCTGGCAAACTGTTTGTCAACTGATGAGTGTGAATGCCGGCGCCATATTTGTATTAAAGAATATTTTGTATGACGGATTGTTCGGTTCGGTGCCATCACTGTGACGAGACGTGACTGATGTGTCTGAATCGACCTTTATTTGACAGTTGCGGTGTTGACACTTTTTGTACTTTATTATTTTGAAGTTTAAAGTGAATACCTCTTGTTTGATGTATGAATTTAAATAGTCGTTGTAATTATTATTATAATATTTTATTAGTTGCATAATCACTATCGATCAGAAAACCGAAATTTAAATAAATCTGAAGAAAAAAGACAAAAGCATTTGAAAATTTAGTTGTATCAAAAAATTTCATAGTAAGCGGCTCAAATTGTTTATAACAAGATTATTTTTTAATTCTTCTTTTGTTTCTATTTATTTACATTAAATATTAATTTGTTTTGTTGTATACTCCACTTTTGCAATAATTATGTGACCTATTCGATTTAAAATGGATTCAGGATTTTTTTATACTTTGGCAACTATGTTAACTTCGATCTCTGACAATGATAATGACATGCAACGGTAAGTAAATTAGATGGACTGTATTTTCATTCTTCAAAACAGGTTCGCGTTGGGCACTACTGGTTAAAGTGAAATCGTCTAATAAACAGTAAGTGCTCCAAAAATAAAACTAGAAAGTAAAACTAGTCTTAAAAGGAATAAAGAAACTGTCAAGAAAAACTTAGCAAAAAAGAAATGTGAAAATCCTACTGTCTGTTCCTCTAAATGCCGAGTCAAGCTCAAATCAACCTGAGGTTGTTATAGAGATGTGTGTTAATGAGTGGTTCTGTTCAATTTGCGGAGGAAAAATTGAAAAAATAATCCAATGCACCAAATGCCGTTCATGGAGCCACGAACTTTGTGCAAGATTATGACCTGGAAACAAAACTTGTTCTTGCTTTGAATTTAAATAAAAATATTACGTTCAAACTGAATAATTTCTAATATTTGAAAATAAATTATATTGATCAAAATATGATTAATGGTATTCACACTAAAATTTATTTTACTATACACTGAAATCTCCATATAGTACTACGGGTACAATTAAGGAAACCTATGGTACAATAAAGGCAACTAGTTTTCTCAATTGTACCACTTGCAACCTACCAGAAAAATATACTTTTTTAAAGGTAAAATCAATGATTTTACGTGTGTGTAAATGTAAATTTCATATGTGTGTATAAATGTTTATTATTTATCCCAATATATCGTTCAGTTAAATATGATGTGTATTATTCAAATTAAAATTCTTTTGTTGGTCATCTGATTTCGAGGATAAATTTGGGGCAAACTTTTTTATATCATTGTTGGCTTTTAAATAATATACTTGAACAACAAATCAGGATTACCTACCTAATACTTGGTAAGCTCATATTTATTTTTTTAACTTCTAATACTTTTTTTAGAGTTTTTTGTCGTTACTTCAATTTCTACCACATTATTCAGCAACTTTTGTTGTTTAATAAAGAACGAATGTATTAACTTTTAATTTGTTCACTTATTCAATTGTTAAAAACTTAATTATTGAGAATAGAATTTGAATTTTATTTTTTATTAGAATTTAATTACTAAAAAATGTTATTTAATTACCTAGATATAAATATTAGAGGTGATGTATTTAAAAATGCACAACAAAAGTTAATAAACCGACAAAGATCACAATTTTTACAAATTTAATTTAAACTATCTCGCGGCGACATCTCTTCGTGAACTCCCAAACGACACAGAAGAAACATGGTGGAATCAATATGGCGATTTACAGAAAACGTGCTGGAAGTCTACTCGGATATTGAAATATTCCATTTAACTTAATATACAGGGCAATTCTAAATATACAGAAAAATAAGCGCAAACGAGTTTTATACTAGTTCACGGAGAAACGATATCAAAAAGCGATGCAAAAAGTACTTTGATACTTAATTAAATTAAGGATTTGACGGAAACCCAATTGAATGCTGAAAGTAACAGCAATTGTCACAAAAATATCAAACGAGGAAGTTGCTTACTTTAAAAAATAAAGAAAAGTTTATCTAACCAATTTTATTAAAAGTAAAAAACAGTTTATACAATGGTTCCTTCTTTCCCTGTTGTAATACACTTATTTATAACTATCTAGAGTTTATGGTTAGGTGAATTAGTTAGAAAAATATAAAAAATAAATAATTAATTTTATTATATGACTTTTTTACTGGAGAAAAATACAGTTTTTAAAACACCTGCATTAATAAAACAAAAGCAATGGTTAAATTGTTTAATGTTCCATTACTATTACTAAATATAACAACAGAAAATTAACTGTATCTAATCCTATAACACCTAGGTTATATGGACTTCTAGGGTACTAGAATAACATAATAGTCTCATAAGGCCTGTTGTAAGTTTCTGTAACCTAATTTTAAACCTAAGTTTTCCGTTAAAAATTCTTTAGATCTGATAGAACGTATCAGACTAAAAGAGAATTTTATGTGGTTTCTTTTGGCATTTTAATTTGTTGTTTGAAAAGCTTGCTTATTCACCACAATGCTTGCTTTACCCAATGTCACAAATAACATCAGGTTTTTCTCTTTACTTATATCAGTAACATTTTCAAAAAATATCAAATCTTTTTCCTTCTACAATTAAGGGCATCAAAATATGTTTCATTTCCTGGTTTAGAGATATAATACAAGAAACAAAAGACATGATTTGGGAAAAACAGAGCCAAAGGGAGAGCCAAAAGAACAAGAAACCAGAAAAACAAAAACATGGCAAATCGTCTAAACAGAGAAGTGAAAACGGCATTGGTAGGACACAAAAGACTAAGATGGGACAACTACGTACAAGAAATTGATGAACAAGGTCCAAATATGCAATATATTTGCAAAGAACACTAAGGAACGACAGAAGATCCCCAATTACATGGAGAAAACGGCGTCGTCTACACCATTGAAGAAAAAGCCGAGGTGATAAGGAGGACTCTCTCGAGAGGGAGAGAGAGAGAGAGAGATAGTAGAGAGAGAGAGAGAGAGAGAGAGAGAGAGAGAGTACACTAAATTATCATCAAGACGAAGATGTAGACTTCATCGAAGAAGTCAAAGAACACCAGGAAATGCTTGAAGAAGCAGACGAGATGATCACACCCATATCTCCAAGAACTAATATAAAATAGTTCACCGAAAAAAGCACCTGGTCTAGATAAAATTTCAATAGTTCTAAAATATGTGCCAGCGAAAGCAATAGTATTTTTAAACAAACATCACAAATGCGATACTCGGATTCAGGCTCTTCTCAAACCGATGAAAGGAAGCCCACGTTATTATGATTCCAAAGCCAGGTAAAAATCATACGTTTCCTCAAAACTGCAGGCCCATAAACTTACTTCCAGCAGTCAGCAATATTGTAGAAAGAGTCATACTATGTAGACTCTAATTAGAAACAAACAGGTTACATAGAATTAAAAATCAAAATTGAAGACAAAGTGTATAAATGGGATATAATACCAATAGTTCAGTTGAACCCACAATCTATAGGAAAACTATAAAATTAACATGTCAAAGCATTACTCAAGACTAACAGTGGAAGGTGTTGAAATATACAACTGTGGGGATGGTATATCTAAATTACGAAGAGATATGGAGAGTGTAATCAACGCCAACTATAGATCAATTGATCCTGAACAAGCTTATTTTGCAAGTTATTGAAGAATAAAATAGTAGTATTATTCAAAATATGAAATTAATAAACGCTTAATGGTATACT